AATAACATAAAATACATAAAAGTAAATTTACTTTTCTGAGAATGTTTAGGCCAGCAGAGAAGGCCTTGCTGGCCCTCAGGGTCCGCCACTGCCACTATGATATCGCAGTTTCTGCTTTTGTTTTATGAATTACTCAAGAGTCCTGCCTTAGGACTCCCACCTGTGGCTTGCGGACTAAGATGCAGTGTTGTGGAGATAGGGATCAGCCCAAAAAGAACTCAATTTTTTTTCTTAACTATTATTATGATTACAGGCAGGTTTCCAGAGTAAGTGTCCTTAGAACAAGAACAAAGAGGCAGTCTGAAAACTGAACAGAGCAAAGAAATTGACTTGACATCTAATGAATCTAAGAGTCTTGGCTTACCCAATCGAAAAAAAAAAACCCAAGAGGAAGAAGACACATAATTCAGGCCGGTCACGGTTATTTGGAACTTCACTTACAGTATGTGCTACATCAGGGGTGCCCAACCTTTTTTGATCAAAGATCTACTTTTCGATCAACCAATCTCCCGCGATTGACCCGTTACCGCACACGCGCAGATACGCACGCACATAAACACGCATACCCTGATGAGCAATAGCCATAACGGCTCCTAAGATGAACGAAACAGAAGAATAAAGCAAATCACTGCCTACCTTTGTGGAGACTTGACGCTGATGCATGCGACGCACTTTTGCAGCCCGTAACTATCGTAGCTCACGTGTACCGTTTTAAAATGTTTCTCCCAGTACTCCAGATTCCCATTCTTTGCCAGTGCCCTCGGTGAATTGTACATGAAAAAACCCCGATTGATAATGATAATAACAAAAGATAAAGGGCAACAGCTTTGATGCAAGCTGCAATTCCAGACTGATGACCGCTAACAACTTCCGGTGATGTGGGCCATGCCCTACCTGAGGTTAAAGGTGAGCTGCTTTTTAATTTAATTTAATTTTTAAAATATTTTTTTGTTTAAGTGAGACTGACAGGATGCTAAGGGTTCAGTGTGCATTAACACAAAAAAATATCACATTAATAACACGTACACAGACACACAAATGTTTTGGGTTGTGTTTTTATTTTTCCCTCGACACCCCTCACGATCAATTTGTGACCAGTCCGTGAGCTACCGGTCCGTCGCGATCGACATATCGGGCACCGCTGTGCTACATATTCTCATTCTTGTGGTTTCCTACACAAGATGTGCTTTATGGAGAAGATTTATCAGACTAAATACAAATAGATGAAATTGAAATAATCATCTTAAAGGAGCTGATTGTTGGAGACACAGCACAGGTGGAGTATTGGGGTGCCAAATGACCATTGCAGATTACGCTAATCAAACACCACACAGCCAACACTTACAGGAACAAAATGTAGTCATTTTACAGATAAAATTGAATTAGGGGAAGTTGGGAATGATAATTTACAGTTCAACTCAGAAAAATAAGGAGTGAGTGACACCTGTTGTCAGAAAGAGGTAATCACAGAGGCCAATGCATAACCATACCGCAAACTTTCTCCATTTCCAGTCTGAAACACAAACCTATCACTGCTTTTCATATGATATCATATCACACTGGGCCATCTTGTCTCTATTTGATGCTTTGATGCTGCATGCGGATTGGTGCTGTCTAATGGAGCTCGGAAAGTCTCAAGCTCATACCACCTGGACAAAGACAAGAGCCAAAGAGGATGGATGGAACAATGCAAGAATTCCAAAGACTGAGTGAGGTTATGTATGATATATCATATTGAAAAACAGATTGTTAAATTCTGTGTGTTTTTCTTGACCACAACTCTCCCCACACTTGAAAAACGGCCAGATGAATTGTTGAATGCAAAGGGCAACGCAAGTCTTCTTATTCTTTGGTTATTTATTGTCTTGAAGATGGGAGTTGGAGTTGGAGTAGAATAAGTTGGATTTGAGCAAGTTGGAATAGGTTGATAACATTCAAATTAAACAGAAGAAGATATACATCAAATAAAGTTCAATGAGCTTTTTTTTTCAAAGTCCAATAAAAGACCAAATATCGCCAATCCAAATGTACTTGATTGACAAGTTTTATAAAACAAATTTTAGTACTTGTACACAAACCAATCAAATTATTCGAGCATCCCAAACAATTTAATGATTTACTTGACTATTTCAATTGACATCATATTCAAGTGTTAAGTTCACACAAAGTTTCAATGAAGTATTTTGAAACATTGCATTGCGCTTCCAAAATCAACCCAAAATTCTTGAGGAACATATCATCCAAAGTCAAAGTTGTTTTTCCTATCAGTTGCGTCTTCTGATTCATCAAGAGTTATGCTAATGCTTTGGTTCCAGGAGCAGTTGAGAGGGGCTATCTGAGCTACTGGCAAAAATGTTATTCCCTGCTTATAACAGTGAGCGCGCAGATGAATATGCTCCCTTTATACCAGTGGTTCTTAAGCTGGGTTCGATCGAACCCTAGGGGATCGGTGAATTGGTCTCAGGGGAAGGAGGGCTAATATGGCAAAAGGAGAACGGCTTCAAGAGTGAGACATGAAAAGTGGGGTGGACCTCAAGGGAGCCTCTGAGTTTCAGACAGATGACGGATGCTTTCATGACTCCCTCAATTTCAGAAGGCCCAATGAACCTGGGAGCTATTTTAGAGGAATCATTCTGGAGGGGTAAATCAGAGTCCGATAGCCAAAACATTTGTCTGTTTTGTTTCAGTAGAAAGTGGGACCAGAGGGCGTGTCCTTTGCTCCGCACCTGTTCAACGTCAAGCTCATCATCAGCCACCTTTAAAAGACTGCCAAGCTGACAACTTGTTTGTTGGATTATTCCTGCCTTGCTCACATGTGTTGAATACCAAGTTCTTGAATTCTCTAGACTTGTTCTCGTTCAATAGTCCATTGTGTCTCATTCTTCGTTCTTCCTTGATCATAGTAATTATTGTCTAGTGCGGTTCTCGGTTTTTGTTGTTTTGGTATTGGGTTTCTCTTGTCCTTTTGAGACAAGCAATTTATGTTCTTGTTTTTTTTTCCTTGCCGTTTGCAAGTGCTTTTGATTTACAGTTTACAGTCCCTCGATATAACACAGTTCATCTTTCACGGCTTTGCTGTTTCACGAATTTTTTTCGTGCAGTTTTTTAAAGTGCATTGTGTTCCGCATCCTGATTGCCTCAGTGACTATAGATTAATGTCAACAGTCTCCGCGTCTCATCGCTGTACATTTTGCCAAATTTTCGCCATGACAAAACCCACAATGTCAACGAAACGTTCAGTACAGTATTTCGAAGAACTGTCAGTTGTTTGTAGGAAAACGTTTTTTTTTTTAAATCCTTGGGCCTGAAATGTGGTTCAACTTTGGTTACAATCAATGCAGCATTGTAGTGTGTATGTAATAATTGTAAAAGATAAAGATGACTACTTCACTACTATTTCACTTTTCATGGGTGCTTTTTGGAACGGAAACCCTCTTGGTCCATTGTTATAAGCATCATTGTTTGTACTTTGTCAGTTTTGCTTTGTACTGTAATTTATTTTTCTCATTGGATCTATCTTGGTCAACGTTTGTGAGATCCCCTCTGATTCCGGAGTTCCTGTTTGTTTTCGCCTGTTCCTGGTGTGAGTGTCATTGTGAATGGTTGTTGTTGTTTTTTTTTTTTTTGTCTATATATGGCCTAGATTGGCTGGCAATCAATCCAGACTGTTCTCAACATCTTCTCAGCTGAAATCAACTGTATTTACAGAGTACTTTCAAACAGTCATCGCTGCATACAAAGTGCTGTACATGGAGCAACTATCATATACAATGAAACTCCTCTACAATGAAATCATGTTTGCAGCAAGAAATTTTTCACAACAGGAGACTTTTCACAATAGCAAATTTATCTCAGATGTAAACACACACACACACACACACACACACACACACACACACACACAAATGTATGTGTACTCTTTATTTTTATTCCAATAGTGCATAAGTATGAGCATACAGTTATTTGACACTTCATATAGCCAGCGTAGAAAGAAAAAAAGGGAAAGAAATTGCAAAATTTACGATCAGCATTCACTTTCACTGACATCAATTTCTTGCCTAATGTCTTTTACTTTGCTTCATCCATCTTTCACTTTTATTACTTTTATCCTGTCTTCAAGAATTAAAGCTTTTCTTTTCTTCACTCCTTGGTCTGCAAAGGTCCGTTTTGTAGCCATTTTAGCAATGCAACGTTCGTGCTGCGTCTGAAACGAACAATAACAAATATTTAATGTACTACTGCGCATGTGTAAACCAGTGTGGTGGTTGCTGTTGTCTTTCCGAGCTAAGCAGTAGCAGTGGCTGGGTTGGATTAGACTTTTGCGGAAGGCTTGTTTTCGTTCCAGTGAATCTCGTTGCGAGGCAAGGGCAGAGAAAAAGATTTCGTATAACGCAACAGGGGTATTTTTCGTTGTAGGGTAGGGGGAGCAGAAAAGTGGGAACGGTTCTAATGCATAAAGATTTTTTTCACACTAGGGGGTATTTTCGCCCATGTAGGTTCCATTGTAGAGGAGTTTCAACAATACAACAATAAAGCAATAAATCAGTAACAAGGATGGTAGAAAGCACCATACAGTAAAACAAAGTCTGTGTCACGTTGAGTCAAATGCCAAAGAATACAAGTGAGTTTTGAGGCGGGTTTTAAAGATGGGCAGCGAGGGGGCTTGCCGAATGATTCAGTGGGAGGTCATTCCAGAGAGAGGGACCAGCAACAAAAAAGGCACGATCCCCTCTGAGCCTCCGTTTGGTTCTTGGTACTTCTAGTAACATCTGGTCCGCAGACCTGAGGCGCCGGGCAGGTGTGTAGGGGCGGATGAGCTCAGAGAGGTAAGGTGGCGTGAGGTCATTTAAAGATTTGAAAACAAATAATAGGATCTTGAAAAGAACTCTAAAATGTATAGGGAGCCAGTGACCGGATGCCAGAGTAGGAGTTATGTG